ATTCTAGCAGTATGTGCAGTGATGAGGGTTTTTTGTACAGTTTGGCATGCTTCCGCCAATAGCAAGTCGTGTGCTGATTGGTCGAACTGGAGGAGGCAATTTGCCTGTGTAACCGAGAATAACAGTGAAGAACGCTGATTGACTGGTGAACTGCGGTGTTGGCCTGATAAAAGAGTGCTGGAGCAGTGAAAAAAGGGGAGAGAAACGTTGGCTATAGGTAGTGACGTGTGAAGAAAGCGAGGACGGTGAAATGAACCAGCGATATTGTGATTTGTACAAGTGACGTTGCAGCAATACAGACTTATTTAAACTAAAATTTTCCAATGGTGTTCTTTGTCTATGATCTCAACCTGATCCCACAGGGCAGTGATCTCCCTTTTCTCTCCATATGTGGTCAGCCACGCCTGATTTTTCCACTTCCCCTCATGTTATAGGTTTTGGTGTTCTTGAAGCCTTACCTTAAGGGGACAGCCTGTCTCTCCTTTATATTTCTTTCCGCAGCTGCATGGGATAGCATACACATAGTCTTTAGTCATGTTCTCCTCTATAGGGTGGGGGTCTTACTTAGGAGTGATATCTGCGAAGTGTCATCCAGCTTTTGAAGGTTGTCCTGATGTTATATGGACCGCAGATCCTTTGTATTTTCTCTGATAACTCCTTCACATAAGGCAGGCACATTGTTTTCTGAGTGTTGTTGTCCTCCTCCTCTTGTACCTGCCTGTCAGGTTGTGATTATAGACAAAGAACACCATTGGAAAATTTGTAAACTTAAGTAATCAGCACATATGCTAGGCCACAAAAATCTCCTGAGCCGACCAAGTGTAGAAATGAATACAATATGGGAACCAGTAATAAGGATTGCCAGAGAAAAGCGATAATAACAAAAATTGCAATATGAGCTCTGGTAAAAACATGCAGTGATAACAGCAAAAAATGCAATATGAGCATTGGTAAAAAACGGTTGCTGAAGACATTAGGTTTATAATACCCAGAAATTCATACACAGATGTCGTCAAGGACACATGGCACAGTGGATAAAGGCGTTGGACCCAAAGAGTGTGAGTTCAATACCCGGTTAAGGCAGTGGAGAACTTGGAGAGGGAGACATCCATTAAACATGGCACATGGAACTAGAACAGTCTACCCCAGTGAGCGAAATAAAGGGTTTAGTTCGACATTCTAACATACAATGGCCAAAATGACAAAGATGATGACAATAGTCCAAATAATATAAATAGTGTAAATTCATTTCCTTAAATGCCCAATTATCTTGGTCTGACAGTACTTCATTAATGTTTCTGGTTTTATTTTCTGATTCATGTATGTTTGTAAACGCTGAACCCCCCCCCCAACACCACTACCATGTTAAATTGTTTGGTTGATGATTGAAGCTGAAATTATTGGAAACTTACTACTTATTGGAAACTTACTACTTATATTTGGTACTTGTTCTAGAGTTTACCTTTATAATGTTTTAATAGGTAGTTTTTGGCTCTCCACAGCTTCCTATCCATTTTGGCCCTAGACATCATTTCTCCATTTGCAAATTTTCTACCCCCCTCAACCAAACATATCCACCATCCATTCTAACAAGCACATAAAGTAGTTGGCCTGTTGCCTTCTCTCTCTCTCTCTCTCTATCCCTTGATATGCCAAAGGGTCAGATTCTTCAAGCCCTCCTTCCTCATTATTTGTCCAAGAAATTTCAGCTTTCTCTTTCTGATTCTGAGTATAAGCATTCTTTTTGTTATCATTTTCTTCAAGACTTCTTTGTTACTTACTCTCAGCATCCTTCTGTAGAACCACATTTCTGCTGCCTCTAGTTTTCTCTTCATCCATGGGGAGATTGTCCAACATTCACAGTCATATAAGTGGATTGATATCATATAACAATTCAGCACATTTTTCTTTGTTTCTAATGAAATTTTCCTGTTTCTTAGTACTTTGCTTAGCTTTTGGAAGACATCTTTGGCTAATCCAATGTATGTTCGGATTTTGGTGTCACATTTTTATTGTCTGTTAAAACACTTCCCAGATATATAAACTTATGAACTTGCTTGATGTTGACATCTCCAAATTGTGAGATGTCATCTAATTCTTACTCCTATGGCATCCTTGTGTCTTCTCACCAAAATTGACTTTTCCAGACACCCTAGTTTGGACCTCAGAATTGGACACTGAGGATTTGGGGTCAACAATACAGGACCAAACAGTGTGGAAAGGGATTGTCAATGGAGTTCCAACCAACCATAGGGAGGTCAAAGGATGATAATGATGATGAAGGCTGAGAAGAGCATTTCTGTCATGATCCTATCTGGTCTGGTGGCTTTGCTCCCATTCATCATGTCCAATGCCAATCTTACTTCAGACTTTAACATTTCAGATACTTCCATATTTTTGTGTTGTAGATTTCTCTCTCTCTCTCTTACCATGAAGAATAAATAATACAAAATGAAAAACAAGTAAAATAAATTATCCCAAACAAATAAATAAACAAACAAGCCACTCCTGCAAAAATAACCGCCAGAATAGATTACCCAGAATGCACCACTGACCCATTTATATAAAAATAGCCAAGGAAAAATCCAGCATTCGCGGCCTGACAATTGTGTCCAGCATGAAACAGTCTGTTGCCTCTGAGTGTTGACTTCAATGTTCACTGTTATCTATATATATATATATATATATAGTTAAATATAACAGACAACAAATGTCTATTATGTTTGATCATGAGCTGTTCTAAGCTTCATAAAGTTGCTTTAGTTTTGGGAGAAAATAAAGACAAAACCTGTCCAACATTTGGATATTTCTTTTTATTATGCTATTCCTCAATCTAAGTTTTTGGCTCACATGAGCCATCATCAGAGTGGTTATATGGACATTACAAAAGAGATGTTTATGGTCAAAGAAGACATCCTGTTTACATAGAAGTTTGCTGTCTGATGATAATGGTCGTAGAATAGCAGATGCATATTGTAAATTCATAATGCGGTTCTATGATGTCATATATGACCTTGTGAGAGAAAGAAATGTTATCAGCAGAACCATCTGTTTAACTGCATTGTAATATGTTGTGACTGGTTTGAAAAGTAATTTTGTTGAGTGTGGATTGTTTTAATGTAGATGGCCTCCATTATGTGAAGGTACTTTTTAGTGTGTGTATGTGTGAGCATTGTTGTGTTATCAACTAATATCTGTCTAATATTATGTACATGGCTGTGTTTTTCTAAGAAATGTTGTTTAATGGAACTAATATCAGAAAGGTGACAAGTTAGTCTACGGGAGAGCATGGTTGTAGGGAAACCAATATATGTAGTGGGTTTATTATTACTATGAGAGATACAATCTCTGAACAGACATGTAAACTGATTCTCTATACTGAATTTTTGTAGAGTATTTAGTTGTGTGATTGTAGGGTTATTGAAGACTATGAGGTCAATTGTTTTAAATTTTTTATAATATATGATGAGCTTTAACTTTATTGATTGTTTTAACATTTCTAACTATTAGGGTTTTGAGTGCTGTTTCATCCTGTTTGTAATTATTATGCATTTGGTTACAATAGTATAAGTTAATAGTTACTTAAATACTTGTATCTATAAAAAGAATGTTAAACATAAAAATGTCTTTAATAAATTGTCGGACTTTGTCCAATTCTTAATGTATGACGTCATTTGTTTACATTTGATGCGCCATGAGCAGTTATGAATGTACGAGATTCATGGAAGATTGAAGTTTATAAGCAGTAAATTCGACCTTGCCTACCGAACCCTCCTTTGTGTCCAAGTCGGTTAAGGCACGTCAGTGTAAATGATGGTTCCGTATAGGATGCAGGTTCGAATCCTGTCAAAGGACGGATATTTTCTATGAAAATTTCTCGGACATTCAGGCCGGTAAATGTTATTTAATACTGTTTATTATAAACAGAGCATTTACTTAAATACTTGTATCTATAAAAAGAATGTTAAACATAAAAATGTCTTTTATATATATATATATATATATATATATATATATATATATATATACACACACACATACCAAGTCATATGGTATTGCCTGGATTAAAATAGATTGTCATTAATCATGAGACATGCTAAAAAGCAAAAATAAGATTTTCTATTTTGAATCTTGTTTTTATAGTCTTATAAATAAATGCAATTTTTGTTTCCTTTTGAATAAATTAATGGAGAATTGGGTCCGTGTATTTTTTCTTTTCATCGTGATAAAGTGTTATTTGATTTGTATTATCAACTATTAATGCATGTAAAATGGAAAAAGCAATTCATTTCTTATAAACTGTCCCTCTGTCTCAACATGTGAAATTTCATGAAAAATACTACCTTTTTATAGTTGCAGATATTCATTGTGATTGAAATATAGAGAAAGGTCAAACCTTTATGTGACCTTAAAAAATTGTCAACAAAATGATTGCAATATTGATAAACTGTCTTGTTTTGACTGCAGTGTCATCTTTGTTGATAGTTTTAAGAGACCATGAATTTCATTAATCGAGATATTTCTTATTTTAATAATTATACTTTTCGGTATTCCTACCTTTCATGGTAACTGAATAAAACTTATAACAGAGTTAAGTCATTTTACACTTCTGAAAAATACAGGAAGAAACATTTTTAAATGAAAAAAAGGAAATTTCTATCAATACTGGAAAGAGCAATAACAGCTACTGGGCTTGAAAAACCTGTTTTCCTGAAAAATTGTTTTATGAGAAAGATTTTATAGACTTCAACTGACCATAGTACTGACTACTCAGTCAATGAATGCCAAATGTTTCCTTATAAGGAAATGGCTAATATTACCATTTTCTAAATAATTTCATTTGAAGTCTTAAAAGTAAATGGATATAATACTTTTCTGTGATCATTAATTTATTAACAAAAAAAAAAAATAGAAAATGTGGTTAATTTTGTTCACTGTATAATTTCTTGTATCTGCTCAAATATTGTTCATTGTAATAACAAGTCTGTTTTCTTTTTCAGCTACGTTCACATATTCCTGCTGGTTTGGTCATTGATATTTGGTATTGTTGCTGCTCACGGCATTTTAAGGTAAATAAAATTAAGGTGATTACCTGATATCACTGATTGATTTTCTTATGTATCAGGAAAATTAAGAGATTTGATTGGTTATTTTTTTTTTTTTTCAAAAGGGAAATAAAATTCATCTGAATAACTAAGAAAAAAATGAAGAGGTCACTACCACATAACAGGGCCCATCAGAAAAATATAAAAGAATCAAGATCTATTATATCAAATCTATAACACAAGGCTGTTTATAACTAAAGACAATTTTATTTTTAATTGCTTAGAGAAGCATTTCTCAACCTGTGTGCCTGGATGCAATAATGAATCCTGAAATATAGCCAGGTGTGCCCTGAGTTAACAGAAGAATAATTTATGAATTATTTTTATATTTAAAAAATTTTTTTATTTTATAAAGCTAGTGATAATCAAGCTCCCATTTCTAAGTCAAGTCTTTATCATTTGATATTTTAAATTGGATGCTAAATTCTTTAATCTTTAAGAAAGAGTGGATAATCCCTTCCCTTTTGCTTTTCTCAAGAGATTTAAATCGTTCATTATCAGTTATTCTAAAAAGAAAATTAAAAAATAGCAGATTCTTCATAAATTTATTTAAATGAAAACTTTACTGTTGATCTTTTGGGAAGGCTAAACCAAAATTTCATATTTTCAAATTTCATGACTAAGTTTTCTTTATTCAAATTTAAAGTATGCCTTAGAGTTTTAGTTATTCTACAAGTGTATCCTGAAGTAAAAAAAAGAAAAAAAGATTGAGAAACCCTGTTTTAGATTATAGAATCTGAAACAAGATATTCATAGTTTTGTTTTCAAAATTAAGGATGTGTGCACTGAAAGGAGGGCTTGGAAAATCTGATACTCCTGTCCTTAAGCAAAATGACATATAAAAGAATTATGTGTCAGCCTATATTGGAATATTAGCTTTCTCACACATACAGAGTTTGATGTTTGTGCTCTACAGTTTTAGTTATTCTACAATTACAGCCTCGAGTATAAAAAAAAAGTTGAGAAACTCTGGTTTAGAGCAACAGAATTTGAAGAACAAAATTCATAGACTTTTTTTTTTTTTTTTTTTTTTTTTTCAAAATTAAGGATGTGTGCACCAAATCTTTGCAAAGTCCAAATTGTTTTATTAGTGCTTTTTGCTATACTACTGACCAATTTGCTTCTCCCCCACCTCTTCTGATATATTACGCATGTTATAAGTGATGCTTACTAAGGGATTTAAGTCAGTCATTATTGGCCTCTCTAAAAGAATAGCAGATTCTTCATAAATTTCTGAAAACTGTACTGCTAATCTTTGGGAATGCTAAACCAAAATTTCATATTTTCGAATTTCATGACTAATTTTTACAGTTGAATAGAATATAGTGAATAGTTGAAGAAAACCAACTCTGTTAAATTAATACTTTTTCTTCTCACTTTGTTCCTATTGCCAACTTCAGAATTTTATTTTGTCAGTTGAAATATTTAATAAAAATATTACCCTTATAAAAAGAAACTATGTGTATTTCTTGTTTGTTTTTCATTACACAGCAAAGATTCCCTTTTGCCAAACATCCTATTCATGTACACTCGGAAATATAAGGTTAGTAGATTTCATTTTTTATAAAAATATTTCTGTATGTATTTGTGTACTTAACATTTAAGCTACTTTGCATTTTAAGTTTCTGAAATTGTATCTTTTTAAAAATATTCTAGCTGGGATTAAATGAAGGTACAAGATTTTAATTGGCTTTGTATTTAGGTCTGATTGGATCCAGTTAAGCAAAATATTAACAAGATTTCAATAAAGAAAATTGTAAAATATTAAAAACTAGCAGAGAAGCCACCCTTTTGAGTAGACTTTGGCTAGTTCCTGTGGAGGGCTTTTGAGCTTTTGCCTTTTACCTTCAGCATAAAATTTATAAGAATTTAGAAATAATAAAATTATTTTATCTTTTATTCGACACATTAATTTGGCATAATCTTTCTTTGTATTTGTAACTGATCTCCATGGTTTGTTTACATTTTGCACATAATTTTTATTTCCTTTTAATATCATTCTTTATGATTCCTTCTTCACATAAAGTCTTTCTTAAAAGACATTAGGGAACCTGAACTATGTAATATTGCAAATACGTTACATTACATGTACTAGAAAAAGAGACCCAGACAAGCAATACAAACCTTTAATAAAGAATTGTTTTTTTTAACTCTTACACTCTGTTCAATATTTAAATTTAAATAAGTTATTTATTTAATCACATACAACTACAGTAGTTTAGTAGATGTTACTTCAGGTTGTTTATGATTTGCCAAGATGAAAAAACAGACGGACGGATGGACACATGTACACTGTGCTTTATTTAAGTCAATATCTTTAGAAATGATTGGCTTGATCTGATTAAATGTGGGCTTGAGTTTTTCAATTGGTTACTTTAACCTTGAATGTTTTCATAGATTCATCTTTTATACAAATTAATACCACTAGGTTCCCGTACGATCACTGAAGTTAAGCAATGTCAAGACTGGTTAGTACCTAGATGGGTGATTGCTTGGGACTACCAGGTTCTGTAGGCTTGGATGTGTGGGTGGTGTAATGTTTAATGGCTTGGAATCGTTAGAGAACTGAATTCCATTTCCTATTGGATTTGTTATATTCATTTAAATGTGCAAATACCCTTGGGAAAGGGTTGAATCCACATCTTCTCTCCTCTCCCAACTATGGGTTAATTATTAAGACTTGTCTTTGGCTACGGCGTTCGTGAGTTATTTTCCTGATGCGTTACAAGTGATTTTCTTTCTTTGTGTTGTGAAAGCCACAAATTTGCTTTGAGAATGCTTACTCTTCAAGCTATTTCGGCAAATCGAACCGTTGGTGAGTGACCGAGAGCAGCCCGAATCTATTAAAGCGGTACGCGTTATTCCATTGATGCGTACCTTAATCACAGGGAGCGCCACTTTCATGCTCGGTGCAGGGAAGAGACCGGCGCTGACGTCGCGCCCCCATTCCATTTCCCGGGCACTTAGAGGCAATATGACCTACTTTATGACATTGAAAGCATCGTAGATCAAAGGCGTGCCTTTTCGTGCCGAATTCTGCGCATTTCTTCGCGTTGATAGCGGCAGTCTCTGGCAAAATGATTCGCCCAGAGCACCAATAGCAGGTGGCAATGCCATGGTGACGAATGGCTGGGGTCGGACCTTCTTTGACTTCAATTGGTTGAATAACCGCGCCACTGGTTCATCAGCCTCTTTTTTTCGATCATGACAGCACGGGCTCTGGTCAACAATTGATTGAGCGTCAGGTCTTCCATTCTGGATGATGCGCGAGTATCTGCTTAACATGACTGGGCAATCCAGAAACGAAGGCACATGTCATTCATTCTTCAGGAAGCGGTGCGATTGAACGGCGAGCTTCTTTAATTCTGCCAAAATATCGTCTACTGTCTCGCCAGGTCGCAGATGCCGTGCCTGGAATTGGTCGAGGCCACGAACCGGTCAGTTCCAAACGCGGTTAGTAGAGCGTGCTTTATTTGCTCAATGTCACTTTTAGGTCATATTGCTTCTAAGTGCCTGTGGCCCAACCTGGTTCACTATTTGGCTGCGTCGACGTCGACAGGATTCCGCAAGCGTCATTGACCACTTGGGGTCATTGTTCTTTGAACTTGGACCTCCACCGGAATTCTTCACTACCAACGACACTGCATTCCGCAGTGGACTATTCAAAGATTTTGTGGCTTCGTGGGGAGTACACCTCAGATTTACGCTCTTGCGTATGTCCCATCAGGGAATGGCATAATCGAGCGATGTCATCGAGCATCAAAAGAATCGCTGCTAGGAAGCAGTGTTCCATAATGGAGGCGGTGTATTGGTACAATGTTACTCCGAGAGACAATAATGTATCACCCTCAACCGCGCCAGCCAACATGATTTATCAGTACAAAGTCCGCCACGAGGCATTGACGCAACGCTGCTCAACTGAACGGATAAACAAACGAGCGCCGATGACTTGGGTGATCGTGTGGGTGAAATCTCCACATAGCGGTGTACAACCCGGTACCGGTGGGGCATGTCACTGGACTAAGTAACTCGCATTCTGTGCTGGTTGATGGCATACCAAGACACATAAAGGACTTGCGTCGTTATGTAGGTACAGATACGTCAACAAGTGACACTAGCAGTGAGTGCTCAGAAAGTGAACAAATAATTACCATCGGAGGTAGGGCTAGCACCTCTTCAGATGGTGAAGACTCTGTGCGTGAGGTTGTCAGACCAGAAGAATCCTCAGAAGAAGAATCTTCAGAACATTCTTCAGATGATGAAGACACTGCGCATGAGGTTGTCAGATCAGAAGAAACCTCAGAATATAACACACAATCTCCTCCAACAGTCGCCCCGCTCCGGAGAAGCTTAAGAATAAAGAGGCCCACCCATGAGTGTCACTTATGTGACAGGGGGGAGTGTAGTGAACGAGATAATCAAGTACCCCGGAAAAAAGTTTGTGTTTTGTGTGCGATCTGCCAGGGAGGGATTGCCAAAAAGTAGTCAGCAAAACTCTTATAGCGACTTACCTCGTCAACCCAAGCGACAGCGCGTCTCGTGTATTCTGTGACGAAAAAAGAAACAAGTCCGTCGCAGGAGTCGCTATAAGAGTATATTAATATGCAAATTACGGAGCATCCTATCCCAGCTGTCGATGAATGGAAAAAATAGGTTCTGCCGATAAAAGCAGTTGGTGTTTTCGACTCGGGGAAGGAAAATTCGGGCATTTTTGGCTACGGCGTTCGTGAGTTATTTTCCTGATGCGTTACAAGTGATTTTCTGTCTTTGTGTTGTGAAAGCCACAAATTTGCTTTGAGAACGCTTACTCTTCAGTTTCACTAAATCATTATCTTCCTTCCACCAGCAAATTCTTAGAATCTAAAAGTATTTTCTGGTTTTAAATAAACTGCAATGAGTTGATAAGTCATAGAAAAGAAGGTACGGATATAAGATAGTTATATTCATGTGAATCCTGCTGAACCAAAGAAAATGAAACACAAAAATAAAAATATCAGAATTTCATTTCTTCATATGTCATCTGATGAATCTTTAATAAAATTGAAACCTGTTAAATAGATAAACTTTCCTATTTGTTCTTTATTCTATCAGAGTCTGTATATATAAAAATTTTGAATAGCTATAGGAGACAATATGAAATTAAAAATAGTCGAGTCATATATTTTGAGACTGAAATTCACAAGTAGTTATCATCTCTGACTTTCCTAAATAAAAAGTAAATTCTAAAAATTGATATTTTCATTCATATTTCTGTTTATTATTTTATTTGTTGATATTTTTGGAAAAAAGCATGCATTTGTACAAATTGCATTACACAAACATACAAATAGCTTTATGTATGCTTGTTGCATATTAAATAATGAAGTCAAAAAATACAATGTCTCTACTTCTAGAATGAAAAAGAAGATGAACTCTCTCTTATGAAAGCCATGTGTACTGTATGTGGCCAGAGAAAATGTCCCCGACATAGGTAAGTATTGAACTGTGTTTTAAAGCTGAGAAAATTTTTATTTCACTTTCATTTGTTTGCTTATTATGTTATCTAAAGTAGAAGTACATTATAATTCCGCTTATACCACTGTTTGTTAGTACGTGTGCTACACCTGACCATTACCTCAGATTTTATGGAAGAAAAGATACATTAGATATGCAGTTTGGTTTTAGTGAGAAAAAAAGCATAGATATAAGTTAGAAAGGGTGTTGCAGACCCGGCAGCGTGCAGTGCTGGTTTATTACGAAGTGGCCTTGTGCCAGACACCATACTAAACTACCGAGTCCACAAACAATGTATATAAAAAAAATGCGTGAATGAACAGTGAGAGGAAAGGGGTCAATCAACAAGTGCATAAATTATAAACATCAAAGAGATAGCCGGAATAAAATGACAAAGGCGTCTGGATGCAAAACGTGTAATTTTTATTAGATAGAAAACAAGTAGGTATCTCGTGGTACGAGATCAAAGAAAATGTTCTGTGCCAAAATAGGATAGCAAGGTGAACAAGGCGGGAAAAAAGAGTTTTATAAGGTTCTGGAAAAAGGTACTCGTTAACAGAGGTGTAGGTGCGCACAGATAGAAAGGAGTACTCACTGTGGATTTTTGGCGTTGAGAGTGTATGTGATTTTTGTGTTTTTTTTCATCTTTTTTTTATGTTCAGGTTCAAAGTAGAGAGAAAGTTCTGTCGTCTCAGAGTTTGGTCAGGCCTTGAATTAACTGTTGAAAATTTTAACGGATTGCTGTGGACGTCTAGCCAAAAGGACGAAGAGTTATTTGCAGTTGGTTGCATCGTCTATGTGAAGTTACTTATGGCGAGTCCAAAGAGATGAAGAATTATTTGTAGTGAGTTGCATCATCTTAGTGAATTTGCTTACGGCGAGCCAAAAGGGACGAAGAATATCTGTTCATCAGTAAGATATCCCTGTCTGTATTTAAGGTTGACTGACGAGGGATAAAATAAGTCACTTGTTGAATACAAAATTTTGCCCACGACTGTGTCGTGTGTCTTGCACATTTTCTATCAGAAAACGGAGAAGGTCTGACCTGCGGGTAGCAAATTTGTTCATCAGTAAGATATCCCTGTCTGTATTTAAGGTTGACTGACGAGGGATAAAAATAAGCCACTTGTTGAATACGAAGTTCTGCTCACGACTGTGTCGTGTGTCTAGAACGTCTTCTGGTCGAAAATGGAGAAGGTCTGACCTGCGGGCAGCTTCAAGACGAGAAGAAGTCTTGGTAAAGTGTGAGGTCGACATTGTTGAGATAAGATATTCCGGCCCGCATATGGGTTAAGGGCACGGAATAAATGAGTTGCCTGTCTAGTTAGGTCGAAAGTCGGGAGGCAACTGATTAGGAACGCTAGCGTTCGTGATGTCAAAAAAACGCGCGGGAAAAAAATTCAAAATCATTTCGGCTGACTTCATCAGCAGGAGCTAGCGAAGTTCCTCCTCCAGATTACTGCTACGTCTAGCTGTGAGAGAGAGGAAGGTGCAACGCCGGCATTAACACGCACGAGTGTGAAAGGAAGGGAGGAAAACTCGTATGCGCCACAGAAGATGTAGATGGAATTAATGTGTTAATTCCATAAGGGAAGATCTGATGCGTTTAATGGAAGCATCGATATAAGATAGAAAGGGAAGATCTGATGCGTTTAATGGAAGCATCGATATAAGATAGAAAGGGAAGATCTGATGCGTTTAATGGAAGCATCGATATAAGATAGAAAGGGAAGATCTGATGCGTTTAATGGAAGCATCGATATAAGATAGAAAGGGAAGATCTGATGCGTTTAATGGAAGCATCGATATAAGATAGAAAGGAAAGATCTGATGCGTTTAATGGAAGCATCGATATAAGATAGAAAGGGAAGATCTGATGCGTTTAATGGAAGCATCGATATAAGATAGAAAGGGAAGATCTGATCGTTTAATGGAAGCATCGATATAAGATAGAAAGGGAAGATCTGATGCGTTTAATGGAAGCATCGATATAAGATAGAAAGGGAAGATCTGATGCGTTTAATGGAAGCATCGATATAAGATAGAAAGGGAAGATCTGATGCGTTTAATGGAAGCATCGATATAAGATAGAAAGGGAAGATCTGATGCGTTTAATGGAAGCATCGATATAAGATAGAAAGGGAAGATCTGATGCGTTTAATGGAAGCATCGATATAAGATAGAAAGGGAAGATCTGATGCGTTTAATGGAAGCATCGATATAAGATAGAAAGGGAAGATCTGATGCGTTTAATGGAAGCATCGATATAAGATAGAAAGGGAAGATCTGATGCGTTTAATGGAAGCATCGATATAAGATAGAAAGGGAAGATCTGATCGTTTAATGGAAGCATCGATATAAGATAGAAAGGGAAGATCTGATGCGTTTAATGGAAGCATCGATATAAGATAGAAAGGGAAGATCTGATGCGTTTAATGGAAGCATCGATATAAGATAGAAAGGGAAGATCTGATGCGTTTAATGGAAGCATCGATATAAGATAGAAAGGGAAGATCTGATGCGTTTAATGGAAGCATCGATATAAGATAGAAAGGGAAGATCTGATGCGTTTAATGGAAGCATCGATATAAGATAGAAAGGGAAGATCTGATGCGTTTAATGGAAGCATCGATATAAGATAGAAAGGGAAGATCTGATGCGTTTAATGGAAGCATCGATATAAGATAGAAAGGGAAGATCTGATGCGTTTAATGGAAGCATCGATATAAGATAGAAAGGGAAGATCTGATGCGTTTAATGGAAGCATCGATATAAGATAGAAAGGGAAGATCTGATGCGTTTAATGGAAGCATCGATATAAGATAGAAAGGGAAGATCTGATGCGTTTAATGGAAGCATCGATATAAGATAGAAAGGGAAGATCTGATGCGTTTAATGGAAGTCGATATAAGATAGAAAGGGAAGATCTGATGCGTTTAATGGAAGCATCGATATAAGATAGAAAGGGAAGATCTGATGCGTTTAATGGAAGCATCGATATAAGATAGAAAGAGAAGATCTGATGCGTTTAATGGAAGCATCGATATAAGATAGAAAGGGAAGATCTGATGCGTTTAATGGAAGCATCGATATAAGATAGAAAGGGAAGGTCTGATGCGTTTAATGGAAGCATCGATATAAGATAGAAAGGGAAGGTCTGATGCGTTTAATGGAAGCATCAATATAAGATAGAAAGAGAAGATAGATCTGATACGTTTAAAGAATACTTCAGTGAAATGGGAAAACTTCTCAATTTTGAATTTTTTTATTTGTACCCCACTTACTTTAAATAATGACTTGCATTTGTACTTATGATTGTTATTACTATATTTTGTTAATATTTTGTTGAAGCTGGTAAGTTTAGATATTTAACAATACAGTTGAAGAATTTCAACAGTTATTTTATAGTCATGGAACTTGTAAATAGCTTATTCAATCATTAATTAAGAATTGTAAGTTTTGGGGGAAAATGAAATAAAATCTAATAATAATAATGAAAAAATTTTCCCCATGATGCTAAGAGCAAAGAAACCGAAAATAGGATTACCCCCACTTGGATTTGACAAATGCTGTTAGGTGTCGCTGTTGAAGTCTATAAAAAGGCAAGCATTTCCTGCCTCACTCTCTTTTTCCTTTTTGCTCCAAGATGTAGCACCATGTGGTAATTACATTCCCACAACTGAACTCTCTTTTCACTTTCCAATATATGGAGGCTTGGACATGTTTTCTAAAAACTTCCACCTGTGAAGTAAGTCAATCTTTCTCTTTGGCTGTTCCAACTCGGTGCAAGGCTGACTTGACTATGACCATTGTAACAATGCTTATACTCTCTTGCCCTAACTTCTGAACAAAGAAAAAGAAAACTGACATTCCATAACCATGACTAAATCTCTCTGTGCTAAATTAAGTACACACCTTCCTTTGGTTATTCCAACTCTGCATAAAGCTGACTTGAGCTTGACCATTAATATGATGCATATACTTACCCTAACTCCTGAACCAAAAAGAAAATTGACATACACAAGAGATACTGAGAACTTTGTTACATTATAGTCACTATAAAAAAAGAGAATAAACTCAAGTTTTGTATGCTTCTTTTTCTTTAATTGTTTCACCATTCACCAACTTAAACAAGGAGACCATTGTTGGTGCAGGAGATTCCAAAGTCGTCTGAAGGCCGTGGTTGAAGCCAATGGCGATTTTATTGAATAACTCTTTAGTATTTCAAAATAATTTTGTGTCATTTATCAGTAATGCTAAATATATCTGTTAAATTGAGATGTCAGTGTAATTTTCATTTTTGCATAATTTAGATGACAATTTATCCATCGTACCTGTTATAATTTATTTACTTAATTTCTTTATTATTAAATGCCATATTTTTAAATTCCTTAATTTCTCTGTTTTGCAGACCAGAATTGAACATTTTGGCTTTCCAACCTTGGAATGGTCTTGATATTCCAGAGCGGGTTGACAAATCACTTGGAGAGGTAGGAGGGGGGAAAAAGAACTTTGTTTTGAATGAAAGAATGACTGATTAATAATTTTTTTTTTCTTTTTCTAACCAGGCTTTATTTGCTTTTGTTAGGATTCATCACATGCTTTAGGGGAGCATTTGTTTTTATATTCCGTTTGTCCTCTTTATATCAATCTTTTAAATTTCAATCATTGCAAATGAGCCACACAAAAATTCCTACCAAAGTCTATACTTTTTGACACAGCTGGAGACATATACATCTTTTTGAAACTTACATTGTCTGCTGTCACTAATATATATATATATATATATATATATATATATATGTATGTATGTATATGCATGTGTATTAAGCAGCAAATTCTCTTTTAGGCATGTTTAATTGAATAAATTACAGTCATTATGTCTGCTAATTTTTTAACAAAATCAGTTCATACTCATGAATAACATCCCCTGTATTGATATTAAAGGATGAGAGAAATGTGTTACAGTTGTTTAGATTTCTTTTATTTTAATTTCCCGAGTACTTTCGATCTTCTTCCAAAATCATCTTCAGGGGTGCAAGTAGTACAAAACTATGTTGTTCATTAGTACAATTATTTATACAAAGTTGTGTATTGTTATCCATTACTGTCTTTTTTTTCATTATGCTTTTAAATGCAAAATGGTTGACAATGTCCTGAGCATTCATTAGAATGTGAAAAAATTATCCATTATGGAAATTTTTTTCCTGTTATAATGTCATGATCATGCGTGCATTAAAGTGTGAAGAAACTATTCTTTTACAGGCATTTTAGAATTTATTTGTGAGTATGAATGGATTTTGTTAAAAATTAGCAGACATAATGTCTGTAATTTATTCAATGGAGATATATATATATATATATATATATATATATATATATATATATATATATATATATATATATATATTTAGGATTAATACAATTATAGAATTTGTCACTTACTCAGCTGTTTGATGTTATTTTCAGTATGGTGACTCTAGTTTCATAGACAGACCCTCCAGTAATCGCTCTGTCCACTTGTCAGGAGAGATACCAGCAAGTGATATATAAATTTTATTTTAGATATTAGAACAAAAACGTTGAAATCACTACACAATAGCTTTTGTGTTTTGCCACTACGTTGTACCTCTTCAGGGGGATGGTAAGTGACTGGTGATCACAATGTAGTTCTGAAACACAAAAGCTATTATGTAGCTATTTCAACATGTTTTTGTTCTAATATCTAAAATAAAATTATATATAATCAATTGCTGGAGGGTCCGTCTACAAAACTCTAGAGTAAAAATGTTAATTTTAAAAAATTTAGAATGATCATAAATATACATCAGGTTAGCTGAAAAATCAAGGTAAATTATGGATGTTGCTAAGCAATGTAACTTAATGTCTAATAAACAACAGTTTGTTTATAAATACTTGTTGCAAAATAAAATCGTTACATTTACCTTGATAAAGCCATTAGAAGATGAAATGTGTCAGGCAAGATAAGTTTTCCTCTTGTCTTTATTGATATTGTGCTTGATATTGATATTTTATTTAAAAACTGATATCTTTTATAATGAAATAAATAAAGGATGATCTTCAGCTGAAAATGATAAATAGAATATAGATTGATGATCAGTTGTGAGATTTGAATTGGCTTTTTCATTAACCATCCTGATCACATCTATTCTTTATATTCATAATGCTGTCACAATAAATTAAAAGAAAATGTCCTAACTCAGATAGTTTTCAAGGGACCAAATAGAATAGGGTTGATTAGAGACAAATGTAAATGCCATTTAAATAAAATCGTTAATAAGTTTGAAAAAAATGAAATTATTCTGCTTAATTTGATTTTTTTTAAAGCACTCTTCTAGTATTTGGAATTTAAATACATCCGCAAATGTATAAATAATAGTTAACAAGGAAAATTTAATTGTAATTTTGTTGTTTATTACAGTTTCATTATTTTTCTTTATTGACAATTTGCTTCTGCAAAATGATTTCTTGGTTGAAATTTGTAATTATTGAAATGCATGACAAAGTGGAAAAAGTTATGTCCCTTACGATTTCATCAAACTATAGGTTTGTTTACGTTGATCTGACTACACATGTGCACAAACAAGAGATGGACGGAATTTTAAATTAAGAAAAAATTTTTCTTTTAATGTGTTTTGAGTCTGTAATCTAGCTAATTTCATTTAGATTCTTTTTATTTTTGTTTAAATCATTTTGTTATTAAATTTCCCACATTGTGATAACAGATAATCTACCAAGAATGGTGAAACATTCTAGGAATTTGGATGCAAATTTACTGTGGATGAACTAGTAATTAAATTAAATTTAATTATTGAAATGAAAATTAATACCAACTGCACTTGTTTTATTAGGAGAGAAAATTTTTAAGTTCCAGGCTAACATGACACTGGGCAGAATAAGCAATAATTAAATTCTAAATAGAATAATCTATATGTTGGATGCAGATGAAAATTTAAAAAAAAAATTGTTTTACAGGATGGTTTTCTTTCATTTTCTTTCTATTTAATTAGTACAAATATTAAACTGTGTTCTCATGTTACATACATACATACATACATACATATATATCCACCCAGCCTTGTTTTAATATTTCTGACTTCATATTTAATATACTTTTAGTTATTGGTTACATTTGTTGTCTTTATTGAAATATTGTCTATGTTTTTGTATATATAAAATTAAATGTATATTTTTATGACTGTCTTGTTTTAAAGATTTTTTTTACTTTTGTCTTTTCTAGTTGCTGGATTTAGTTTTCAAAGAATTCATCTATTCTTGGTTTAAGTAAGTTTCATTTTCTTAATCTTTGGAATCTAAATGATTTTTTTTTTTCTCTTAATAAAGTTCACTCAAGACAAGGGTCGAAACATTATTCAAGGAAGAACGTTATTGAAAGGAGGTGTGTGATATAAACATAAGAAGAGGAAGTGAAAGTTATGAGGATATAGTGGATAGATAATGATTGACCTTAAAGGTTAAGATTACAGTGTTTATGGAAGCATCTATGCAGGAGCTTGTTCTACAAAGTAGTGCTTCTAGGAAAGAAGCTTTCTGAGTGGAATATTGTTCATGGTGCAAAATGTAATACAGCAAAGGTCATAGGATGATCTGTGATTTGTTTAGGGGTTAGGTACTGTAGAAAATGTGCCACAAGTACTGTCATTTTGGTTGACAAACTCATCTTGTTTTATTTATTAGAGAAGTTAAACAATCATCAAATCATCTCCACCTTCCAAAAACAAACTGAGCCTTAATACAAATTCTTGTCTTTTATTATTAAGGCTTCAATTATTTTTAAGCATTTTTATTATAAATTAGAATTGTAATAAAGCCCAAACATATGATGAAATTGAATTTATACATTTTCTTTGTTTCAAAAAATAATAAACACTATTAGATTGTTTATTTACACTATTTATTATATTTGAATTATTAATAAAACATCGGTTAAATGTTAATTGATTTGAACTTTATAAAATGATAAATAATAAAGATTTCCTTATGTGGTTGATTTTCTTATTTTCAAACTTAGTAAATGTTTATAAATTTATGAATAAAAAATTGTTTTCATATTTATTTATAAATTGGTAAATGATAAATATTGTATTAGTTTTTAGAATGTTGTAAATATAAAATCTAATAGTGTTAATATTTTTGTTGTAAATTCTCAAGAACAAAAAAAATGTAAAATTCCCTTTCATCACATGTTTAGGTTATATTACAGTTGTAATCCTCACTTTTTGAAACAAACCTTGCTGAGGAGTGAAGGTAGTTAAAATAATAGTGGTGTCAAGGGAAAAACTATCCTTTTGACACTTTGTTTTTTTGCAGGTATGAATTTTCAAGTTTGACAAAGCTCTCTTTTAAAGTTATAAAATGTAATTGTGTGTTTGTTTTCATTTCTAGAGACTTGAGTGAAGATGAGGAATTTGTGGATGAGTTAAGGACAAACATTCGTTTTATCACAGCTGTGCTCTTAAGAAGAGCCAAAAAGGTAAATGTCTTTAAAATTCTGTTTGATTCAATGAAAATGGAACTTATGCAAATACAATTTCCTTTTTGAATAGAAAATACTCCAATAGTAAGATAATATTTATGAGTTGTAACATTTGCTCATTGTATAATCTTGGACAACAATCAATGTGTCTTTATTGGCATTTCTTTTAATTATTGGAATTGATTTCATCTGAACTTTGCAGTATTCCTATTTGATCCTTATTAAATATTCAATCAAATCAGGTCTAAGGGAAGTAACTCTTTTTTTAATTTTTTTTTTTATCATTTCACCAATTAATGTCACTAAAACACAAGGGTTTACTTAGTGTTAGAAAATATGAGGAAAAAAACATGATCAAGGAGGGAGAATAATAAAAGAACAAGAATTTTGACAGAAGGTGACAATTGACATTGAATTTAAATTTTTGACGATCAAAGTTGACTGGGAAGCAAGAAGCCAGAAGAAATTTCCACAAGTGAGAAAAGAAACTGTTAGCATAAAACTTAGCCATTTCAACTGTAAAATGATAAGACTTTGCTACCAATTTTGTACTGCACTTAAATTCATAAAATCTAAGTACCATAGAGGAAAATACATCAGAACAATTACCTTGAAAAGTATTTATAGAAAAGGCACAGGCGAGCTATGTTACGGCAGTGGGAAAGTGGATAAAGTTGATATACCAAATTGGAACCAATAACATTGCAGATTCTTCTTTGGAAGTTTATGAAGAATCTCTAAATATATAGAAGCACCACCAGATGTAGTAGCAATCATTAGAACATGGATAAATGGTAAACTTATAAATATCAAAGTTAGAATCTGGCAAGAAAAATTGTCTAGTATGACATATTGAACCAACTTTTCTAGCAACTGACTTAGATTCAATAAAATCTTTTCACTTTATGTCAGCAGAAAACATTAGTATTTGTATAAAAATTAATAGAAATCTGTATTTTGCTATTTATTTCTATCATCTTGAGAATAATAATTCTGATGATGCAGTGGAGTATGAAGGCACAGCGGCATAATGGATAGTGGCTCAGATTGAGGAATTAGAGAGTTGAGTTTGAATTCTGATCAAGTTCATTACATTCACTTATCTGAAAATACCCTTGGAGAAACCCCAGCTATGCATTAAATAGCCTCACCAGATTGCAATTGGCCAAGCATAGTGGGTACAGCTACACTCCTAAAGACATGGTCACGTAGAGAGGGATTTCTCCAACAGGAGTGAGAAGGTCCTGGATTTTGGTTCTGTAAATAAACTTAGAAATATTAACACATTTTTTGTCTGTTAATCAAATATTGATTACCTAGGACAGTGGTTCGCAACCTTTTTTTCTCAGGGCTGCATTTTCAGAATTAAAATTTGCTTGCATCTCACAAAAAAAGGAAAAATGTGCAAGCAGTCTTACAATGAAAAAGGTCTAGAGTGGGGATTAAAGGGAGATAACCTTCGATTTGAAGTGAGAACATTATCATTGATAACTTTCTCCTCCAATTTGCAAACTCTAGTTACTATATTCTTAATACTTGATATAATGCAAAAATATCACAATGATAAAATCAATCAATAATTATTTATAACTATTTATACTGGGACTCTTGCATGAAATTACAAGTAATCCTTAATAATATTTTAAATTTTGAAATCATATTTAATTTTTGGCATATGAATTTTTTTTTAAACTGTTTCTAAATCTTTGATTGCCTTCCAATCATTTTACCTCACCTGCTATCCTCTTCCGCCGCATCTATGAGGTGTGCCACACTGTTTAGAAACCACTGACCTAGGAGAATATTATTTTCATAATTTTTCTTTTTTTATAAATAGTGCTTTTTAAAATGAATAGCAGTCAATTCCTACTGGATTTGATAACAACCTTGTCTTGTGAGTTAAAAAAAAGATTGAATATTTGTATTTCTTAGAAAATTGTGAGTCAAGAAGAAAAGCAATTAATGAAAATTAGATTGAAGATTTAGAATTTTGTTAATAAAGGATATATAAAATTGACAGTCTTAAAATATTTGACCCCCTTATATTTTAGATTGATGTTCCTGAACTTCTTGTTGGAAAAATATCCAAAGCTGCCCTGTCACACTTGGATGCCTACTTGCAGACAAAAAGGAGAGGTAATCTAAATCTTTCTTAAATGACAAAAACCTCTTTTTAGTTCTATGATATATTCTCAATAAGAAAAACAAGGTGGCTTTCTATTTTCAAAATTTTATACACAATTTAACAGATCTGTTTATATTAATATATTTCCTTGTGCGTAATATGCCTCTTAACTGTTGCTGTTCCTAGGTGCACCTTAACCCCGGGTGGTTGCATCTTTTATTGCTATTGGCAAATAGTAAAACTCCAAACAAAAATCAATAATACATTTTTATAGTAAAATGACCAACAATACATTTTATGATCTACAAATGATATATCTAAAAACATACCTTTATGCTGAAAGTATAAAATTATTTACAAAATATTTAGATTTTGGCATGAAATAGCCCATAGAAGTTGATATGCTGCTAAACAAAAGCAACCAACCAACAATACCTATTTATACTAAAATTACCAACAATACATATTTAAAGCAAAATGATCAACAAGACATTTTATCTGTTGTTGAAGGCATACAATTGTGTTCAAAATATGTTTAGTGGAAGCCATAAAATTGTGTTCAAAATATTTTGATTTTGGCATAACCCATATAGTTGTTGCTGCTAAACAAAATCAACCATTAACCAATAACCTTGTGCATAATATGGGAAATTTTGAATGAAAATTAAAGGCAAAAGGTTGGGACTTGTATTATACACAAGTCCATTTTTTTCAGAAATTTTTTCTCAGCTTAAAAACCTCTTATTTGAAATGGCAAGATTGCAAATACACTCAGTTAGCACAATAGATAATAAGCAGGCGGGTGTTTATAACAATTGTTTACAAAAGATATTTGATGTCAGCAATATTTGATTTTTGGGTAATGTTTAAAATTAGTTTTGCTCACAAAGTTTAATTATATTTTGATTTTCTTCTTAAAATTTTCTCTCTTCATTTTTCATGAAAGATAATATTCTTTTATTTTCATAGTTTATTACTATATAGGAATATAATAAAGCTATATCAAACAGATAATTGATAGATTAATTAAGATCTTAAAATTTATTACTGGGTATTCCTAGTTAGCACCTATTCCTGAAAATAGGAAAAAGAAACATAGAATGGTTAAATATTGATTCATTTTTATTTTTTGAAATTGTGAAAAATTAAATATTTTAGTGAAACATATGTATGATGTTGAGATTTTAATAGATAATATGATACAAGTTTTCAAAAAAAGATTTACCTAGGGATGACTGTAATATGGGATCATAATATACCCAAGAAAATAGGGTAATATTGATTATAAATAAATTCTTTATAAATTAAAATGATAAAGAAGGTAATTTGAGATTTTCTATCAAAAATTCGACAGGACATTCACTGGAAACACTACAATGTTTTTTTTTTTTTTTTTTTTTTTTTAATGTTTTACTTTAGAAATTCTTTGAAAAATCTTATGCCTCCTGTTTACCTTTTACTTGAGTCAACAGAAACTTTTACACTTTTTGAATTTCACATCTTTAAGTATAAAAGCTATATTGATTGGTTAGTTATTGGTAACTGTACCAAAAAGTCTCTACAACTCAAAACTTATTATTTTGGCATGACAGACATGTCAGAATGACAGAGATAAGTAAAATGTTAATTTTTTAAAATAGCAAGATACTAAAATTTTGTAATACTAATTGATTTGAATTTCACTTTTTGTTATTTCTTTGTTTCTTGTATTTATTTATTTTTATTTTTTTTTTACTCTTTTTTTTTTCTAGTACCTGTGGGTACAGACCTTCAAACTGCAACTCTTGAGTACCTTGGACCAAACTTGCATGTTGTCATGCAGAGTCGAAAGATGGAACTTGAATATCTTCGACGTTTAGTAGAAAGTTTATTTCCCTTCATTTTGCAACCACATGCCTTGCACTCCAAGTAAGAACCATTTCATATTAATTGGATTCGCAATCACCAGAAATTAAACTCTAAACATATCATTTCAGCTTATATATTCTTTAGCTCTTCTCTGGTCTATGTTGCATTCATTAACAAGTTCATAGTGTCATAGTTATTTAGTTATTTTAGCTAAGGCCTTTTGTATCAACATTAGACCATTTGACGGTCTTCAACTAGGATATTATGAACTTAATGCTCCCTGCAATACAGTTGCTTTTTTATATTGTTGTAGCATACCTATGGATGATAATGGGTATGCCCCCATTCACATAAATACAATAGTAAATACTGTATGTTGGTCTGCAGTTGGAGATTCATTGTGTAATTCACTTGACTCACTTCTAGCAGTTGACTACTTCTATGCGCTGCTGGTGAATCTTGTATGTGTTGTTCTTGTCCTAAGTATTATCATTCATTACCAACCTTTGTTTGATTATTCTATTCAGTAACCTTCTCTCGGTTACAACATATATGAATGGCAGAAATGCTTCCTTGTTAACTTGCTCTCAGTTTAATGCTACTCACACAAGGCCTTAGCATTTGGTCCTGTGATTCTGTTGGGCTGTGATATTTTAATTGAGGAAAATGAAGAATAAACTATTAAAAAAATGAATGTTAACTCTCAGTCCATTTGTTTCTATCTTATATTTGCTTGTTATTACAATGTGGAAAAAAAAATGCAAGAGTTACAATTCTGAGTAGGTGCAAATCCAAGCAAGGTGTAGCAAAATGAATGGTCACAAATCCAAGTAGAGCTCTCCCAACAATTGTCATCCTTCAATCACCACCACATGATATCAAAAAATGTTGGTCTTATATGCCTGTCGCCAGACATAGATTAGCTGTGATTTGTTGATAACAACTGCCATGCAAATTTAGCAGTAACGTCATGTATATTTGGAGACTGCCTTCTCCAAACACCCAATTATTCAAGAGAACACAATTCTTACCTACACCAAACACAGCTCTTCCCAAGAACTGCTGCTTTGTGAAACAGACTCCTGGCTGGCTGTTTTTCCAGTTAATACAATTTTAACCTATTCAAGCCTTTTTATCTTTCCTGCATAGCTTCATGAACTTCACCTCGTACCCTTCCTTATGATCATACAGCACTCTACAGTAACCCTCTACCTTGAGTGGCTCTTGTACCTTGCATTGGGTGAAAATTAGTATAAAATTTTTTTGTGTGGGTCTAAAACAAAAAAAATCCTAAAAACTATTTCTCTCAAGATTTGAAAAACCAACAAAAAAATGTTTCCATCAAGATTTGAACTTGTGTTCAATATCCTGGTATCTTTTCCTTTGAAAATGACTAATTTCTGCCCAAATTTCATTCGGGAGAAGTTATCATTATTAGAAGGTCAGAAGACACAACGGCCAAAGCATTGTGATAATAGCAACAAAGATGAGGACAACAGTCCAAGGATAATTAATGTAACTAATGATTTAACTAATTTATTAAAGCATTATACATAACCTATGGCTAGACAGGATATAAATCTACAGACATATTGCTACTTTTCTACACTAAATTTTAAACCATAGAAAATTGTGATAATGGACAATAAGATGAAGAAAAGTCTAATAGGGAAAATATTTAGCAATTTTTAAAGTTTGGATAGAATATATATCCAAGAAAGGTCAAAGAATATATTATTGAAAAACCTTAAAGAATAATACAACTGTTAACATTAAAATGTATATCTCCAGGTAAGATGAGAATGAATAGAGTACAATTCCATTGTTCATAACATTTAATTTAAAAGAGGGCTCAATACAATGTAGAGAAATATTATTTAGGTCATATTTGATTGGTTGATCTGAGTAAAG